AATTGTTTAAAGGGACAGTTGCGAAACACTGCCATATATATAGAAATATAAATTATAATTCCTAGTTTGAGATATTTTTGAAGGAATTATTCGATTTTTGTACATTTCTAGTTCTTCTGAGGACTATTTACATTTATTTAAGATTAAAATCAACCCCATAAAAATTGCGCAACTGTCCCTTTAAGTATACTGTATTTTGATATTATGTGGGACACAGGTACATTGTAAAATATCCGGCAATATCTTGATGGACTGAGTAATAGTTCAGCTTTGTAGAGACACATAAAGTTACACCAAATTTATTTTTCTGGTCAGGGTGACAATAAACACAGGCTGTATAAGATACCTCGACAGTTGGAAATCGAAAAAGATTAGACTAATGCCGCTGTCCTGTTAAAATTATACCTGAAAATACTTTTTAAATATGCTATTTATATCTATGTATCTTCTTGATAAAGCTGAATTGATTTTAAACGGGTTAATTAGAAACGGAGAGCACTAATTGTTAATAAAGCAGTTGGACCTAGTTTTGGTCTTTGGCTTTACAGTGCCTCGATATTATTAGTTGAAATCTTTAGAATACTAAAGAAAAAGAAAAACCAAAACCTTAACTACCATTATAGGCTTGGGAATAAATATTGCCGTTTGTATAATTGTAGATACCATCAAGGATTGTAAAAATGGTGCTGAGCAGAAGGAGGTTAATGGTGAATTTATTTGTGATTGTGTAGCAGGAACGTTCGGTGACGATTGTAGTAAGTTCAAACAAGAAAATTGTTTTAAAGGGACGAGTCCGCCATTTCATGGGGTTGATTTGAGTCATAGTTTTCAGAAGTGCCAGAAATGTACGAAAATCTCACAATTCTTTCAGAAATACCTCATACAAAGAACTTCATATTTCTATAGATGTCTTTTAACTTTCAAACGCGCATTATTCTGGACACACATGTATTTGATTATTTGAAGGCTGAAAGTTCGAAGGTCAGCTGTGAACATTATTACTAATTGACTTAGCTAAAACAAATTGCCGTTTCTGAATCTAAAGTATGATTGATCAAACAAAACTGGTTCAAATAACAGGGACTGGTTGAACCAAGTCCATAGACCCCCACCCTAAAAGGAGTTCTACCCAAGAAATCTTCCAGTAACAGGAGTTATATTGACATACAGAAGGATCTCAGGGTGCAGGATAGTATATGTTAAAAACAAAATTCCAATGAATAAAAAGTGAAACATTTTTGCAAAAATGTAGAAAAAGAAATTTTGTTTTTTTTTTGCGATTTTGCTTGGGTTTTGAGTTTTAGACTTTCTCAAGAATATCCTATGTGATAGCAGTTAAAAATACATGTTTTGATATTTCATAGCACACATTTTAAGCCGAATTTTGCAAATTTTCTATTTTCTCGTCCATACTTCCGGTTGATTTGAAATTTCTGCTGCCAAAACAGATCACTTCAGAAATCAAATTGGCACAATCAAAAATTTTGCATCACTTTCAGTTTGCGCGAAATCAAAATACTAACTTCCAGTTTACCCACTCCCGTTTTTTATGTATGAAGGTCACTGGAATTTATACTAATAAGTAGATAACGTTATGACTTAAAAAAAAGTAGAGGCATTTACTATACACAGAAATTGATAGTTTCCATTTTGATTTTTCTGAAATTCTTCAAAATTTTATGACGAGATAAGGGCTTATCAGATTTTGATGATTTTGATGTCAAATTAAACACAAAAGTTTGAGAAAAACTGAAGAAAGTCGATTTTTGAAAATTGTTTTTGCTTTTTTTGCAATTTCCGCGATATTTTTCGAAATTTGAAGGCTCATATACCGTGACCTTGATCTTTGATAAGCTTCATATTTACCATGATGATAATAGCTGACGTTGAATTTCTTATGAACTTTTGCAGGGTTTCACAACTTCCGATTTTTTAGGGGTCTAAATATGGTTAATTTTGCACTTTTGGAGTGCTGTATCTTAAACCCTCTTTGATTAGCACCCTACAAACTTCAGAAGTTTTATCTATATATTTAATTGTTTCAAATAATATCGCACTTAATGATGTCAAGGGCATATTAAAGAAAATGTTGCAATCGATGCGCCTTAAAGAAAGGTATAGCCCCACTTAATTTCACAACTTTCTTATTTCTTATCCTTATTTCATCAAACTTGGTATGTGTGTGCATAATCAAATTCTAAATTTGATGGAAATATTCAATTTTTGTTGTGTGCATGCACATTACCAACTTTTTTATTTCTTATCTAAATTTCTATCCACCTTCGTTAAGGGAACAGTTCTAGTTTGTTTTTGCCAATTTTTACTTTAGTCTAAGAAACGGGATTTTTTGTGCTAAGCCAATCAGTAATAGTGTAAAATTCTTAGTTTGAGATATTTTTGAAGGAATTATTCGATTTTTGTACATTTCTAGTACTCCTAAAGACTATTTACATATATTCAAGAAGACAATCAACCAAAATGGCGCATCTGTCCCTTTAATTCACTCCTCGACTGTATTTTGGTATCGTGTGGGACACAAGGACATTGTAAAATATCCGGCAATATCTTGATGGACTCATTCATGGTTCAGCATTGTAGAGACACAAATTTAGTTTTTAGGTCAGGGTGACAATAAACGGGGGGACCGTGTGCTACAGGCTGTATAAGTTAATGCCGCTGTCCTGGTAAAATTTCCTTCATTGCACACTGCATAAGCCGACATTCTCTTCATGTAGGTCTAGGAGTTTGTGATGTTGAAAACCCTTGTGCCAATGGTAGTACCTGTATACCGGGAGAAAACATCACTGATGTTCCCAACTGTGTTTGCTTGCCCGGTACAACTGGAAAATATTGTGACGGTAAGTAGAGTCAGGAGTGAATTATGTCTGAGTTAAAGGGATATTCCGCTTTTTGGAAAAAAGTTTTCATTATCATAAACGTCATAAATTATACTTGAAAATACTTTTTAAATATGCTATTTACATCTATGTATTTTCTTGATAAAGCTGAATTGATTTTAAATGGATTACTAAAAACTGAGAGCACTAATTGTTAATAAAGCAGTTGGACCTAGTTTTGGTCTTTGGCTTTATAATGCCTCGATATTATTAGTTAAAATCTTTAGAATAGTAAAGAAAAAGAAAAACGGAGAGCACTAAACTACCATTATAGGCTTGAAAATTAATATTGTTGTTTGTATAATTGTAGATCTCGTTAAGGGTATAAATGGTACGGAGCAGAAGGAGGTTAATGGTGAATTTATTTGTGATTGTTCAAACAAAAAAATTGTTTTAAAGGGACAGTTGCGAAACGCTGCCATATATATAGAAATATAAAGAAAATATCCTAGTTTGAGATATTTTTGAAGGAATTATTCGATTTTCGTACATTTCATATCAGGACTATTTACATATATTTAAGATTAAAATCAACCCCCTAAAAATGACACAACTGTCCCTTTAAGTATACTCCTAAATTATACTTGAAAATACATTTTAAAAGTGCTATTTATATCTATGTATCTTCTTGATAAAGCTGAATTGATTTGAAACGGATTATTAAAAACTGAGAGCACTGATTGTTAATAAAGCAGTTGGACCTAGTTTTGGTGTTTGGCTTTACAATGCCTCGATATTATTAGTTGAAATCTTTAGAATACTTAAGAAAAAGAAAAACCAAAACCTTAACTACCATTATAGGCTTGGGAATAAATATTGCCGTTTGTATAATTGTAGATACCATCAAGGATTGTAAAAATGGTGCTGAG